GCCTGCTTATATGCTGTTGCAGGATTTGCCTGTTTAAGTTTGCGTGAGTGTATTTTCAAAGATTTAACTCATTATTTTAAAGTGCAGTTATCATATAAGAAGTGACTATCAGAATCTTTTCACACAGTTAAAATATTCTCTGTTTTTACTAAGTGCCACCTATTGAATCTGCTGGCTATAAAATAAAGCTCTTCACTACCTTTTGTTCTTGTTTGTCTCTTGTAGCCAGCACAGCTAATGAAACAAAATTAAGTGTTTTTTTGGCTTAGACCTTAAAAAAAAATAAATCTATTAACAAAACACTGAAGCCCTTATTTCTTATAATACTGATCAGAAACGAGCCACATGTGACTTCTGAGTCCTTGTTGAGTTTGCAGTGTTGGCACTTCAGAAAAAGAACAACATAGAGCATTTACAGGTTAACTGAATTAATTTACCAGTTTGCTTACTGAGAAATGTTTCAGAGGCTGTCAGTTTAGTAACATGCTATTTTGTGTTTAGTAAACAGAACAAAAAGGAGAAATATCGTCCAGAAACCAGGCTACTCTGTTACTCTACTGCAGGAAAGAATTAAGTCATTGCAGCAGCAGATAACTGTTTTACAGAAGGAAAAAAAGACATCAGTGTCTTCCGAGAAAGGATTTAAAGAAACCAATGAAAAACTAACAACTCAACTACATTTGGCTGATCAGAGACTTCAAGCTAGTAAACTGACCATAGAGGTAAAGTACTTTTCATTGTGGTGTCTTACAATGTTCAACTGAATTCTGTTGTAATTCTGTGAAATTTTGATAACATTGATTTTTATCTCTTAATTTCTTAGAGTCAAAATTATGAAATGTTATCTATTAGCTTGCATTACATGAGATTCTGAATCAGTTACTATGTACAAATGATATTGAGGCCTGATTTACTATTGTATCAGCCCAATTCATTAATCCTTCCAACAAAGAGCTAGTCTTCATGCTGACGTTTCACCTACATTCAAAGGGATGAGGGAAGTTTCACTTTTAGCCCATGGTGTGAGAACTTCCCTAATCTGGTCACTCCACATGATCTTAGCACTTATTCCTCTGTGAAGAACAGATAGTTTTGGAGAAACCAACTGTCTTCATACGCTCCAAGAGTGGAAGGCAACTGGAATTTTCTTCCAGAGGAGACTCAGACCAGTTCCATACCTGTTTAATCCCATCACTCTCTGTCGAGGTGGAAAGCTAGAGAACAAGGTGTGTGAAAATAGAGACTAGTAAACTATTTGGGTAACAGCCCCAAAGATGCCAGCTTTCTTCTCTACTTCAGTCTTTATTCCTACTTAATCCTTTCTCATACTATTACTCATTTCTGGTTTTCCCCATTCTCATTTTTATATATGTATTTGTGTTAATCTATATGCAGCTCCTCAGCTGGAATTCTTTTCTATTCATACTGTAGTGATTGGCCTGCCCTTTATAGAGCTGAATCAACAAACACTTTTGCAGTAATTGTCTCCTGTTGGTCACACACACATCTTGCTTCCAGAATTATAGTGCTACAACAGATGGACTTGCTGGAAGGAGGCAGACATTAAAAAAGAAATCAAATCCCCTCCCCCTCAAACTTCTCTGCATTTCTGTCTTTGCACAGAAGGCAGAAGCAGTATCAGGAGCAGCACTTTTCACTTTCTTAGGGCTGGGGAACTGCTAATTTCTAGAGAAGGGAAAATCTTATTTCTGTTACTCATTTTGCATAACTATATATATGTAATGAATTGTTCAAAAAGAGTTTCCAAGGTCATTGGAACCAATGGAGATCTGCCTGCCTCACAAATAGTATCATAATGTAAAGTTTCATGGACAGTATAAACTTCACAGAGAGTTATATGTGTAATTTAGGTAAAATATTCTGCTTGCTCAGATATCTTCATGATTTCCCTTCCTAGAAGACTACACCTTAGGTGTCCATAGTGGAGCAATGTGAGAAATAAAATAAAAGAGGCCATTATCAAGAAACTGTGTGGAAAAAGAAAAAAAAAAGCAGCAAAATTTGTGTCAAGATAAGTGCTGCTGTAATGTAGAAGAGTGACTAAAAGTGAAATAGCATGGTCTTAAAGCCAGACTAATTCTCTTTCACTCAGTTTTTCTGGGAAGTTTAAAAAAAAAGAACGAAATGGTCACTGGTCTATTTAAAGGGTGGTGCATTCTAAGCAAAAATAGATAAATGGTGTTGCAGGTATTCAAGGAAAAATCTTTATTAGGCATGCACATTTTTTTCCTTCTCAGCAACTAGTTCAAATTCCCTTTCTTACAACTAATTACTCTTCAGGTGCCATAGTAGTGCTACCAAGTGGGAAATTTAAAGCAGAGGCTTGGGCTACTTGCCAAGTGAAAATTAAGGAGGTAAAGAACCTACACAGTCACTGCAGGGTACATGCATGTTTTAGAGAGAGAACCATGATTCAGACAGATCAAATGGTTGTAAAGCACACATTTGTGTGTTTTTTTATGTGTTTAATAATAAGGAATAGTATCTAGAAGTGAAATTTTATATTGCAAGGGAATTGACATTTTTTAAAAATACTTTTTTTCACTAGTAGGAACACTGTTGTCAGTTTCATCTCAATGCTTCTATAACTTTAGATTTTAGAATTTTCTTGCACAGGTAGAAGGTAAAAAACAAGCAAACAATCCATGAAAAACTAAAGATTGAGACAATCTCTGGTTTTAGGGAGACTCTTAAACACTTCAAGAGTGACAAAATGACTAATATCCAAAAATAAGCTTCCAAATCTAATCGTAAAGTTCTGAGTAATCTGATGTTAACAGTGAACTTATGATGCTGGGCTAAGGTAAGTATCTCATTCTAGCAACTGTAAACATTAACATCATGGCTTGGACGAGATGCCATGTTGCCTGAATTTAGGTAAGAAAATAAATCCATTAGCAGACAAGGGCAGATGTTCGTGCAGTCAGTCCTTCATTATAATCCTCAAGGAATCTAATGCTAGGAGATCGACTCTGGATTTAAGATTTAAGAGTTCCAGATGTTCATTTTGAGACAGATTTTAGAGTTCATACAACCTACGGACTGGCATCTGTTGGTTTTCAGAATGTATGTACATGTATGATTATGTATATTTTTCTTGAAGATCCACATAGACATGGGTGGATGGATGTATATATCTGACTGTCTGCTTGTCGGAGTTCAGAAATCTGAATTCACAATCCTTTTTTTGTATGACCTTGTAAACTGTTTGCAGTAATGTAGACTTCTTGCTTTGTTTTGTTTCTGCAAAAGCAATGCTTTGTGTATTTTGTAAAATGGCTGCCCATGTGAGAACCAAAGCTTGCATTCTCCAAGGATTCACATCATACACTGAGATAAGACAGTCTGTACAGAAGTACAGTAGTTATATTTTGCTATCTCTGTGTAGAAATCACAGCTGATACTTAATGTAGAAGTGGAGGGATTTAGTGTTTCCTTAGTTTTTAGAAAAATATCCAAAAGAAATTGCTGGAAAAATCCACGAAAAAATTCTTCCTAAGGTTTATTTCCCCCTCTACTCATTCCTATCACTGAGTGACTGCTTATAAGAAGAACATATCTATTGCGTACAGCACAATAATTATAATTAGTTTTATGCTGTAGGTGTCATTCTTGTTGCAAAAGTTCAGATAAAGTGTATTGAATAAGAAATTAAAATCATCAGCAGGTTAAGTCATTAGTGCTTGTCTTATTCCTGTCAAGGCCACTGACAGGTTCACTCCTTAAAAGTACCGTAGGATCTTTTGCCTCAGTTCTCCAGCATTTCTCAGGCGATGTCACAGGAAAAGCTGCAATTCTTAGTGGAATGCTATAGGCATTTGCAAAGTGCCTAAGCCTACTTCAGCACAAAACCTGAATCTTGAAGAATGGGAACAAGTTAACCAATCAAACGGTCACAGATCCTTTGGAGAGGATAACATGAAGGTTTAAGTAAGGTTCCTGCAGACATGGAGCTATGATGTTTTTGCTGAATTGAGAAGAAAAGGAGCGCTTTTTTTTTTTTTTTTTTTTTTTAAGAAGCCTCTGCACATTTTAACTGTAACTCAACCTGAGATTTTTTTTTCTGATAGCATTTTAAAAATCTCTCCAAACTTTATTTTAACCATTCGATTTTCAGTTCTCTTTCAATTTTAAGGGAACTTTTTTCCCCTGAGCTCATACTATGCTTTTGAAATAGAATTTGCTTGCCAAAAGTTTGTTTATCCAGTGGATTATCTTGAGCATAGAAAGGTACAAGCCTGAGAAGCAGAAGAGTAAAGAGCTAGAGAAAGCCTTTTATTCTTTAAAGTTTGTTTGTGGCTTTCTCTACATATTTTCTTGACTTTTTTACTACCCAATCTATCAGAGAACAGCTAAGAATTCAGAGTTGCATCTGCAAATTCAGCATCACATCTTCACTCTTCTTATGGTACCCAAATATGAGTCAACCAGCCTATCTAGCATTATTCGGTTACACTGAAACAAAGAAGAAACTGATGGTGGATTTGGATGCATTGTAAATTATTGACTTAACTAGTATTTACACAAAGATCTCACTTTGAGTCTGTGGTGGGTTGACCTTGGCTGGACGCTAGGTGCCCACCAAGCCACTTTGTCAGTCCCTTCCTCAGCAGGATGGGGTGAGTAGAAAATAAGATGCAAAAAACCCACTTATGAGTCAAGATAAAGGCAGTTTAATAAAGCAAAAGCTGCGTGCGGAAGCAAATGAAAACAAAATATTCCAGTTAGAAATTCTCATAGCAAACATCCAATTGTTTCCTCCCAGAACACTTTTACATGTGTCCTGGTTTTATCTTTTTGACTCCTATTTCGTGGAAATACTCCAAAGCATTTGTGCTTCTTTTTTATTAAGTTCATAAGAAAGTTTCTGCATTTGGTGTCATCTTTTCTAAATTAAGTGGTTTGGGTTATTTTTTTCTTTCCAGTGACACAAGAAGGTGTTTCTCATTATTTGCATCAGATACTAATCATATCCACAGAATATCTGGATGATAGAATTTTATAAGAAGTTTTAGAAGAATTAAAATTTGGAAGACTTTAAGTTAAGCATAAATTGTAATTTTGACAGTTAAACTGTGCAAAAGATGACTACTGCATCAATGGTATATGCAGGAATTCTGACTTTCATATGTAGAAGGAGTAAAAAAAAAAAAGTAAAAACAGCTGCTATAATGACCTTATATTTTAGTAGATAAAAAATAATCTACTAAGAATTCAATTTGTTTCTGCTCTGTTCAACAATGTCTCTTTCCATTCTTACAGAATGCACTTAAGTCTGGAACATCTTACTTGTATCCATCTTAAAAAACAAAAAATCTAAATATACCTTTTGCCAAACTCACTGCAAAATAATTTCTGCAGCCATCCACCTTTGGCACAGTGTGTAATGAAATAATCAAATAATTGCATGAAACTGTTAAGGAAAAGTCTGCTCCCGAAAATATCAGGAAAAATGTGATTTCTCCCTGCTTTCCTTCTTTAGAAGCATACAGATTATCCTTTATTAATTGCTTTGAATATAAGTAGTCTTGATTAATTTGCAGGAACTATAACCTTTGGGCACAATGTTCAAAAATAAGTAAAGACAGTTTCTCAAAAATATTTAAAAATTGAACCAGCAAATTTTCTATTCTACTATTTCTTAAAATGCAACAGAAAAGGTAAACCAGAAGGGATAAAAGTATAATAAAGCAGGATATAC